ATGGGACCCATCTCCATGTTCTACCAACCAATCTAACACACACTCAAACTAATCAAAACAAAAACCCTAAATCATAATCCTTCACTGCTAAATTCATAAACTTTAGCATAAACTTACACAGTCAACAGAGAAATTGCAACCAGACAAAGCACAAGCAATAATCAATAAGACAGAAACTGATCAAACTAAAACCCTAAACCGTAACCCTTCACTGCTAAAGGACTAAACTTTAGGTGAAACATACCTTGAAGAAGACGAAATAGGGAACAGCAGAAACAGAGTAAGCTTCAGATATCTCAGGATGTTCCTCAGCTTCTACCTGAGAAGAAGAGAAGCCATAAACATCATCAAAAACTAGTCTTTTTTTAATACAGGAAGGAGAATCAATTGATTAGCGAGGAACGAACCCTAAAGAAGTGAGCGCGAGGGAAGTCGGTAGCGAGGTGAGAGAAGACTTGATCCATCTGCTTGGAAGCATCACACCACGAAGCCCAGAAGTGAAGCACGACCGGTGCGCCGCTCTGGCGCAAGTTATCAAGGTCCGACTTTGAAGCTATATCCTTCACCGCACCACCCATCTTCGACGATCTAAGATTCCTTTTAGATTATTACACAGTCGTGATGCTTCTGTCGCTGAAGAATGAAAGGTGGGAGCTTTGTTATTATGTAAATAAAGTTAAAAGGTCTTGACGAAAGAATTAGGGATTTTTATTTATGTTAAATTGCTAGATTGATCCTCTAAGTACCCTAAACCATACGAACTAGGATAATAATTATAGAAAATGTAGAAAACAACCTTCCCTCTCGAATTGGATTCTGAAAACACTCAACATCTATGCAACATCCCCAAGTGTCTAGTTTCTGTTGAAGGGTTCTTATTCTCCGACAAACTCATAAACATCAACAATGTTATTGTATTTCAATTCTACTGTTTAAACTATACTAGATTTTGACCCCCGCTTAAAAATCACGGAAATTTTTATGATTAAAAATTTGTATATTTGAATTTTCTCTTAATTTAAACAATGTTTTGGTATAAAATCAATTCACCAAAACTTGTGGTGATGATTGTTTTTCACTAGTTTTTAGTGTGAGTTTTTATTTTTAGATTTTGTTTTAGGTTTTAGTTTTTGGTTTTTAGATTTTGTTTTAGGTTTTAGTTTTTAGTTTTTAAGTTTCTATTTTTAATTTTTAGTTTTTTTTTTTGGGTTTTAATTTTTAGACCCGTTGAGTCAGTTTGAATTGATATTACCAACAAACAAATCTCAAATAATCGAACATCTAATTTAAAAATGAAAAAATGACAAAAGATTAAAAAAAATTGCAGTAGTTTATTTTGTAAATAAACAAAAGAAAAAAATATAACCTGTATTTTCAGCTTTTGGTTTTGGATTTTAGTTTTTAGATTTGGTTTTTGGTTTTGCTTTTTTATTTTTAAATCAATAAATTATTTAAGGAAAATAAAACAATAAATTATTTAAAAGTTATCACTGTAATTTCAAAAAGTGATTGTTATTTAAAATAAAAAATACATTAACATGTTTTAAAGTACATGATTTAAATAATTGTTTAATAATAGATAATTTTGTTTTGTTAAAAATATTAAATATCTTTTGGACCTGAAAATAATAATTGATTTTTTGATCCATTAAGGTGGAAAGTTTATTAAATGTTTTTTGAAGTTTTTCCTTAATATTAGGCCCAAAACCCAACCATATAATTTGTTTTAAAAACAAAAGTAAGCCCAAGACTATATCCCATAAATAACCACCGGTTTAATTTAAGTAATGCGGTTCAATTAACTATATGACTTGTATTATTTGTAACACTCTAGAAAGAGTCCAAATTTAAATGACAACTTGTATCAGTAGATAAAAAGAATGACTCTATTTTAGTAGAGTATATAAATCGATATTCGATTAATTAATAAACACTATAATTAATATATTCTTTTAATTCTGAGTTGAACCGATTCAAAATATAACATAAATTGATAAAATATAAGATAACATGTAAGTCGTATAGGGAAAACGAGGTAGTTTTGCATATGACCGGAATGTGTTAGAAATTTGATTTTTCCTAGACGACTTACATGTAAGCCATCTAATAGAAAATTAAAAATTAATATTTTGATTTTTCTAGACGACTTATATGGAAATCGTCTCAGGTTAGCTTTGCAATTGAAATATTAAACAAAACAAAAAAATTTCTAGACGACTTACATGGAGATCGTCCACGATAAGCAAAGTTTGACCAAATCTCGGAATAAAATCATGGACGACTTCCATGTAAGTCGTCTAAAAAAATTGTTTGATATTTCAATTGCAAAAATAACCTGAGACAACTTCGATGTAAGTATCTAGGTATAAGAAAATATTGATTTTTTAAATATTTACTGGACGACTTACACGTAAGTCGTCGAGGAAAAGTCAAATTTTTTGACACATTCCGGTCAAATGCAAAACTAAATTTTCTCTAGATGACTTACATGTAAGTCGTCTAGAGTTTTTTTGTTTTATCAAACAAAGGTGGACGACTTACATGTAAGTCGTCTAGAAACAAAATTAAAAGTCAATTGCAAAACTAACCTTTGCATTGACCATACGACTTCCAGGTAAGTCGTCTACAGCCGAATGACTTACCTTGAAGTTGTCTGGACGAATAGATCTGGAAAAGACCTCGATTTCATAGTTTCGACCACTGGGATAACTTGTTTAGCACACATAAGTCTTCTCCAAGCACCCAAAATCTCAAACAAATTGACCCACCAAGAATCGTAAGCTTCAATGGCTCTATGAACCATAAAAAATTTAGAATAAAAAACCCAAACTTGGATTTTTTTGGATGAATATGGAGAGAAATTGAAAGAGATGTTGTTTTTAATTCATAAGAATTGAAAAAGAAAAAGTGTAAATTAATTTGAGGTGCATTAAAAGCTTCAAATTGGTTGTTCATGGTGGTTGGTGTTGATGGCAATGAAAATTTTGTAAATACTTGAAGATGATGAGGTTGAAAGAGTAATAATGTCATCTCCGAAAAGAAAAAAAAAACTAATGGTATTTTAGTAAATAATGTGAATTTGTGGATGAATAGGGCAAAAGAAAAATCCAAAAAAACATAGGTTAGTTTTGGGGTTGACTTTATGTTTTGAGTCAATTTTATACATAGTCCATTAATAAATATCTTTCTAAAATAAAATATTTTTTGTCAAATAAAATTCACTTATGTTTTAATAAAATAGATAGATACGTTTCTAAGTTTTTTTGTAAGACAAATATTTTTTTTCTTCTATGTTTATTTCTGAGAAAAATATTGAATTAAAATTTAATTATTGTACTCTTATAATATATATATATATATATATATATATATATATATATATATATATATATATATATATATATATATATATATATGTGTGTGTGTGTGTGTGTATGTGTGTGTGTGAATAATATTAATCCTCGAATTATTTAACATATAGTTGAAATCAATTTTATACGTTTTAATCAACAATATTTTTCGTTTATACTTTGTATGTGAAATGCAATAATAATAGTATACATGAATATATAATATTTATATCACATTTTAAATAAATTTGTTTAATTTTGTCATAAAAATTGATTAGAGAATATTCCAATTAGAAAATAATGATAATTTGGCTAGTGAATGGTAAATTTTATTAGAAAATAATCTAAAATAAAAAATTACTTATGGTTAATTAATTAATAACTATTAAAACAGTGGGATAAGTTGTAATTATTAAAAGTAAGGAATGGTTGTTTTTAAAAGTTAGTTCAGTTTTAATTAATAATTATTAAATGTAGCATCATAAGTTGTAATTATTAGAATAAAGAATGATTGTTTTCAAAAAGATATTTCAATTTTAATAATATAGATTTGAAGAAACTTATTTTTCTATATAAAATATTTACAGTATCGTGCGAAGGGTTTTAGGGTTCTAAGGCAAGTTATAAAAATAAACTTATTTACAACTATAATGAAAACAATTTTTTAATACGATATTACCTTCACCAAATACACAAATCTGACACTGTACAAGAATAAATTTATCACGTAAATATGATATATTATATCATATAGAAAAAAAGTAAATAGATTCAGAAGGTGAATTAGTCGACTCTTATGGAAAGTTTTTTTTTTAAATAAGTCTAAACCAATATACTAGAAATTATTTTAATTGGACTCCTAAATAAAGTTAAATTAATCGGAGGTTTAAAGCGAGTGTCTTTTTCAATATATTGTAGGCACGCCTGAAAATATAAAGTAAGGCTTGGATACAATAATTTTTTTTTGAATTTAATTGTTTTTTTGGTAATTATATATCAACATATCACAGCTCACTATTCCCAACCATAATAAAAATAAAATCATATGCTGACCTAAATTCATATAATCAAAAAAATAAAATGTTGACCTAAATTCATGACAATAACCACATAGTAGATCCTATACTATTTCTTTTTGTGCTTAATCACTTTCATCAAATCCCTAAACTTTTATGACAACTTTGATTCTCCAATTTTCGATGGAAATCTTACCCACAAAGCATTGAACTTTTCGTAATTTCATTCAAACAGAACATTAAAGTACTTATATTCCCAGGTGGAGAATCAGATTGATCGCCGCCAACCTCAGTTTCAGCAGAATCAAAAGGACACCACACAAGTCAACCTTCATCATTAAGTTTCATAGTACATGTGTCACACGATAACCATAAACATAACCATAAAGGTACACGGATTAATCAGTGAGTCTTACCTCACACGATCGTTTCTTCTCATTTAACACCGTATAAAGAAAGCGGTGAGGAAAAAAAAAAACAGTTATACAAGCTAGCCAAAAAGGACCGACCACCACTAACACATCAAACCAATAATAACAGGCCACATGTCACACTTATTATTTTTTATTAGATGACTACGCGTTAAACGTAACGATATAAAGCTCATCCAAAGAGCTATTTTTCTTCCTTAATTATTCCTTTTCCATTTCCTTCTCTTAATTCAAAATCTCGTATCTTCAATCTCAGATTCTTTCTAAGATTCACCCAATCTTTTAATTTTTCTCTTTTCTACAGTTTAATCTATCTTAGATTTTGCGAGTTATGGCGTTGCCAAAGGGAGAATTTGAGATTAGTCTCAGTCGCGGTAAGCTTCACGGCGATGAAGAAGAAGGTGTAAGACTAGGGTTCGTGAGGTTCACTCGAGGATTGGGGAGCAAAAGGATTCTGTTTTCGAAATTGAATCAAGAAACCCTCTCGAATTCTGATGAATTTGATTCGCCACTGGTGAAGAGGTCTAAGACAGAACCTAATAACTCTTTGCTTGAGTCTCTGCATCAAGATATTTTGGTAAGTTTTCTATTTCAAAAATCTCATTTCTCTGTAGTTTTTTCCGATTTTGATTCTTATATTAAATTAATTTCTCAGATTCGAGTACTTTGTCATGTTGATCACGACGACCTAGCGAGACTCAAACGTGTCTCTAAAACAATTAGAAATGCTGTAAGTTTTCTTTCATTTTCTTCCAAATTTCAAAACTATTAACTTTATAATCGAGCAATACTCAATGGTTTCCTTTTTCATTTTGATGAATTTATTTAGGTATTAGAAGCAAAGAAGTCACATTTTGATTTTAGCACACCAAGAAAGACTCTGCCTTTTCGAGACCCAATATCAATCCTCGAGAAAGATTCGAGTTTGAGTGATAGAGATGATGCAATTGAACCTCCTAATGCACCAATTCAAAGGAGGAAGCTTAACAGTCGATCTGATTTGTCCAGGATCTCTATGGTTTTGTTTAAGTGAAGAGGTAATATAACAAGAAGGATTAGCGGCTAATTTGTGCAGAGATGTGAAGAAGACAAGAACCAAAGAGTGTTTTGCTTTTGCTTCAATTTTTTTTTATCACTGAAGCTCTTTTTAAGGTTTATTATATTTACTGATCATGTGAATATAACAATTATTTGCAGAGTTTGTAAGGTTTAAAAGTATTATTTTGTGAATAGTTCTTTCGGGTTGTGATCAGAGTATCCTAAGTATTTGTTTTTGTCCTTTCCATCAAAAATATTAATATAATGTTGAATTATGTTATTTCATGACTTTATCCCTTTTATATTATATTCTTTCTAATTTAAATTAATATTTTAAAACTTTTCCTACAAATTCAAATAAATTAAAATTTAAGTATATATACATTTTCATAAGAAACAAATTTTAATAGATTTAAACTAATAATTCAATAAATTACCATCAAATTTAATATATTATTATTAGCTAATAAAATACACAACTTTTTATTTTACAATCATACTAGATTTCAATCCGCGCTTTAAAACGCGAGATATTTTGTCATAAAAAAATTATTAACAATTTTACAAATGTTTTATTTTGGAAAAAAATATATGTTCAATTAATATTTGCATTTGAATCAGCGATTTTATAATTAGTAAATTAGCGGCCAAACATATATCCAGTGATTCGATATATAATTATGGTTTGGTTTATAAAAATATTTATCACTTAAAAATCCGAAAACATCTAAACCCCTAGGGTAACTAACTGAACTGATGAGTGATAAATTGTTATTTTGAAATTTAAAATTCAATATATACATTGGATATTTAAATATAGTAATTTAATATTGTTGTAAAATTATATGTTTTAGCTCCAACTAGTTACAAGAAATGTTTAAACTATCTTTTATACTTTTATGTGAAACGGAAATAAATAAATACAATAGATTTTAAACCTTTCCTATATTTTTAAGCATGATTGTTTTAATATTGATATTTTTCATTGAATATTAAAGTTATATAAAAAATTGACCCAATCCGCCGTTAACCCAATAATATAAGTTTTTTATTAGAAAACATATAATTTTTAAATGTTGTATTATTCCTTTTTGAAGAAACTATATTATAAGGGTTTACATAAATTGTGTAGATCTTTTTTTTGTTTAAAAAAAAAAAAACTCAAGCAACAATGTTTTCTACTTTAAGTTTTTATATTAAGACATCTTCAACGTCATCTTTGAATATGTATAAACCATTACATTAGATAATTTCCCATTAGAAACTATATTAGACATAAGTAACGTACTTGCGGAACTATATATAAGGTAATTGTTTTTGTAAAGATATTCTATATATAAGATAATGATCACATCATGTGTTCTAATATTTGATGTCAGTTTATTTTTGAGCTATTATATAATAGATTATGTAGAGTTAAAGATGAGTTCATTTAAATTATGTAAAGTATCTCTATAGTTAATTAGTTGAGAAAATTAAGATAAGACCAAAATATAGCAAATAGTTAGTGAATATGTGCAACAATCTTTTATAAGTAGATTTTTAGGGCAGATTCTATTTAGTAGTATAGATTTTTTTTGACAAATGCTTCATTTTCAAAAAAATATTTGTAAACATTTTTGCGAAAACTAGAAAAAAAAATATTGTAAATGAACACATTGAATGAATCTAAAATTTGTAGACTTGAATCGTATGGATAAATCGTAGCAGCTTGAAAACTATTCTGCAGACTTAAACCATTTATGTAAATTCGCTCCACTGCTCAAAATGGATTGTTTTTAAATTTAATACATTGCTCTCCACATGTGGATGTAGAAAGAGAAAGGATGAAATAATAGAAGCAAATTCTATAAAAATAGCAAAAAGCATATTGACGAAAGTTCTCTGTCACCGACAGTTACTTTTACTATCTGGAAAGTTGTGAATAATCGATCCATGATCTGTCTTTCTCTAAACAAGAGGTTGCATTCGAAATCTTTTGAGTTTGGTAGAACCATCCATTCTCCCTTTTTCTGGTTAAACAAATGCTACTAAAGAGGCTTTTAACCTGACCTAGGTGGCTCCAACCTGAACCATACAATCTTGCACATAGAATATGTAGTGGAATTCAGGTCACCTAATGATAGTGGTCGGTCGAAAATGGGTTTGTGGTTTACAATTTTTCGAAGAGATATAAATGGGAATATAACACGGATGTTTTATGGCATATTTTATTTTGCACATTCCAAATCCTATAGTTGGTCATCCGCATTTGTTAGAATTTGCAAAAAATATAATCCATAAAAGTATTTAAGTGTTGCTGATTAAACCATACTGGTTAATCATATTATAATCTTCTATTACTTATCTGATTAATTACTTTTTAAAAATAATTATAGATCTTGATCCGCACGACCGTGCAAATTTTTGGAATACTAAAATGTTTTAAGTTATACAATAAAATTTATCAACAAATAAATATAATTCGATGTTATATATTCGACTTGTTTCAAAAAGAAATATGTTTTAGAGTTATTACACATATAAAGAAAATATATAAATAAATGCATTAGTTTTTGTGGTTAACTATTTCCAATAATCTTTAGCCAATCAAAATTCAGTTACTACAGTTAATATTTTTGAATTTCACAATGTATCATTATTATACACATAAAAGATGTAAAATATAGATCTTTAAAAAAACAATTTTCTAAAACATGGATCATTTTAAAAGAGAATGAGTATTATCTAACTTTATAATAGTATTTGTCGCTTATAATATTATTACTATAAAATTTATAATTTTGTATTTTGTAAGAAAATGTTTTAAAAACATTATTATGTAAAATACTAATTTATGTATTTTTTTGTTTTACTTCTAAATAGGAAAAATATGTGAAAATTAAATTAATTGGACCTACACAATAGAGAAGAATTTTTTTTTTTGTATTTTGTTAAAAGTATTTTACATAATTGCTAATTTTTGTTTATAAATAAAAATGGATTAAAATTTAATTATATTTTATGATAATCAAAATTTTAACTAGTTTGCGAAATATATTTTAAAAGATTCTAAACGATTTTAAAAGATTTTGTTAAAATTTTCAAGAAAAGTATTTATTTGTATTTCAAATAAAAATTAAAGACATTAAAAAATATTATTTTGATCTGCGCAACCGCGTAGGTTTTATTTTTATATACATAAATATTTATTTTACATGATTAGTGATGTTAGTCATATATTTAAATGTTTATAAAACTATTACAAACACAATAATTTTATAATTCACATGTTAATAACAATTGTTTCAATCGTTTCTTATTATATATTTATCTTCTTTTGATTTGTATTTGATTATAAAATAAAATAATATATGCATAAAAATCATGTTTGAAAATTATTTTATATTTAATTTATACCAAATTAGCAAATTTTAGGTTTATTTAGATAATATAGTATTGTATATATAAAATTTTATATGTTAATTTTATACATGTATTATATAGTTACTAATGTTAACCTGTTGTGCCAACATATTATATTTTTAACCTTAATATTTTCTGTTTATGAAAATAAAATAGATTAACTTATCCATTTAATATAATTTTACTATAATCATTTTCTTTTAAAATGATACATTATGATTTTATAAATTATAGATAAAAGGATATAATTTTTATTTATTTTTATTTTACAAAAGATACATAAATATATGTATTAATGTATAATTATATTATTTACTAATTTGAAATTATTCAATATTTACATGATTTTTTAAAATTTAAGATCTTGTTAAATCTTTTTCAACATATATGTTGTAATTTTAATATATATTTATATTTAAGTAGTAATTAAGAGAAAATTTCTCAAAAGAAAATACACAAACTAATTTCATTTGCTTAAAAATTGCTAAACTAATTTGACTCCCGCTGAATATAGAATATATATTTTATAACTAATTAATACATAAAATTTGAAAATTGAAAGTTATAGACCGCTAAACTGATGTCAACCCGTTAAGTTTATTCATAAAAATGATGTTGGTTTAATTAGATCAAAAATACTTTATCTAATTTCCGTTGCTATAAAATACATTAATTATTTTAGTTCTTCATTTAACACCCAATTTTTTTCAATACCTAATTAATATCTCAATTTTTGAAAATAGAAAGTCTTACACAGCAAAATTATATAAATGAATAGAAAGAGATGAAAATAAGTGAATTACATTGCATACTTATAAGAAATACCCATGTTTATTGATAACAAACAAAATGAGCTGAAAAATAAAGTGAGTATTGGCTTTTATTTCAAACGATTTCTTTTTAGGCATTTACGTACTAAACACAAGCTGACAAAAAAACAAAATCTTAAGTAACACCACTAAAATGACAAATCAACACATTTTTAGTACCAACGTCAACAGTTTCTTTTTTGAGAATCGCAGGACAGTGTTGATTCGAAATCAGAATACACCTCATTTATCTTCACCGCCCCAGCATAATAATACACCACATGTACTCAAAGAGACTGGTTTGAGCAATACAATATTGTTTTGCTCTCACGCAATGTTTGTCACAAGGGGAAGAGTAGTTCGCTAATGCACTGATCTCAGTCCCTACAAATGTTACATTGAGCATGACAATGGTTCCAGCAATCATGAGTCAAACTCGACATTCAAAGATGTTTTCCCACCCTACTTATGTTTGGGATTGCCACCTTTTAGGGACATACAACATTAGATTGATCTCGTCCTAGGCACCTCATTACCTAACATACCTCACTACCGAATGAGGCCTGAAGAGCATGAGGAGTTCACAAAAATGTCGAGTCGTTGCTAGCTAAAGGACATATTCACGAAAGTGTGAGCCCATACACAGCGCTGGCTCTGTTCATTCTCAAAAAGATGGAACATGGAGAATGTATGTGGGTGGCATAGCTATTAATAAGATCACAATGCGCTACAAGTTCCCAATATATAGCACAACTACATGATCTACTGGACCAGATAAGTTCAGCTTGTGTGTTTTCTAAACTCGATCCCTAAGAGTGGATTTCACCATAACTGGATTAGACCGAGTGGTGAGTGGAAGAGAGATTTTAAAATGAGCGAGGGTTTATTTGAATGGCTAGTTATGCCATTTGAGCTTTCAAAAACGCCTAGCACTTTTATGAAGATCATGAATCATATTGGGAAATTTGGTGTTGTCTACTTTGACAACATCTTGGTTTTCAGTGATCCTTGGATGCACATATTAACCATTTATGG